GCATATGTCTGTATGTGTGCGTGTGCATATGCCTGCATGTGTGTGCACGTGCATATGCCTGCATGTGTGTGCGTGCACATGCCTGCATGTGGGTGCGCGTGCACATGCCTGCATGTGGGTGCGCGTGCACATGCCTGCATGTGGGTGCGCGTGCATGTGGTGCGTACCTGTGCGTGTACATGTGTGTGCGTGTTTCCCATTCTCTAGGATCCCAGTGCTGTGCAGCACAGTGCTCAGTATCTGAAAACTGCTATTTCTTATATTTTGACCAGTTTTCTAGTAATTTATGGCAGGAGGGCTAGCCCGGTACTGGTTCTCCATCGTGACTGGAGGCAGAGTAAGAATGTTTGCTTGTCAGTATGAGGGGAAAGCACAGGGCAGGGTATGTCAATGGGGTGAAACCCTTTTAAAAGCTTTATGGAGCATAATTGGAAGAGAGAGTGTGTCAGTAGACAGAGAGCATCTTGTAGAAGATAAACCAAGAGAGCATTATAGGTAATGGAGCAAGAGCTCAGCTCAAGGAAAATGGCTGGGGCGTCCTGTAACCCAGCAATTCCAGAAACTTCTCGATTTAGAGCCTAGTGAAAGGTAATTCAGTGTAAATCCTAAGTATTAAGTTGAAACTTGGATGGAGGGAAAGAAAGAGATACAATTCCCCTGGTCACGAGTGGTATTGAGAGAGTAACAAAGGAAAAAATAGAAGCAAACTAAAAATTAAAGTCATAAAAATGTTCTATTATCTAGGATTCAATTTTTTGACAGGCCTCATAGAGCAATGTGTGGTAATTTGCTCCACTTCTAAGAGAACTGGCCAAGATTTCAGGCAGAATCCAAGTAATTAAGTATTGTATTTATTATTTATGCATTCTTCATATAATCTCTACTGAGGTTTTCAGGTTTCCTGAGAAATAGTGTGTGCACATGAAAACATTTGGTTTTGTCTGGCGTGCCAGCGGAAGGTTGCCCGATGATGCGATGAAGAAGCTCAGCAAATGCTTGAATTGGGAAGGTGGCACTGGCGGAGACACCAGTTACCCAAGAGGTGTGAGGTTGAGGGCACTTAGAATATCTTCACAGTAGGAACTGAGGGAAGGCAGGTGGTCCTTCAGCAGGTGATGTGTTTTAGGTATCTTCTTAAGCTGAGGTTTTGAGTCGTAAGTTTTAAGGACCTTTTAGAATTTAAGAAGTTGAAGTTTTAATAGGTATTATCTTTTCATTTCTCTCTCAAGATGAAATTGTGAAACAAGATAGGAGACCAGAAGGCCTCAGATTTGGTAGTGGCAATAATGGATCCACATGGACGCTGCCAGAGCAAGCCCAGTATCCAGTTATTATCCATCTCATGACAATACAGCCTGAAATCTCACTCTGTCATTACTGAAAATAAACCTCAACAACTCTGAAAGCTCTGTTTTGGAAACAGGTTAAAATATAATACATAGTAAAAGCTGAAGATTTTGCTTTATATTTTGAGCCATAGAAGGTAAAATGTTTATTAAGATAACATATAATAAAACTTAAAAAAAAACTAGTGTTGTTAGCACCTTGGAAGCCAGGAATGGAAGTCTTTGTGACTTTAGTAAATCAGGAAAGTGAATATGGGTTGTAGGTCAATAGAAATTGCTGTAAGATGGTACATACATGTAAGTAGGGAAACTGAAATATATATTAGAGATTCAGAGTAGCCTAAGGCTTCCTAGAATGCAAGAATAACATATGCCATAAATCTATCAGTTAAAGTATTAGAGATTAATTCAGGACCTATATATTAAGCACCAAATGTGAGGTCTTATGCAAGACACTTTTCTGTATACTGTGGTCAGTGACTTTTTAAAGAAATCAGAATATGCAACATTTCGGGTAGTTCAGTGGACCAGCAGAAAGAGGACATATGTACCCACCCACTGTTAGAACAAATTATGTTCCTTCTGTATATCGTGAGAAATTGGATGGCTACGTAATGTAAAGACAAGCGTGCTTTTCTGTAGCCCTTTGTTCCTGGGGTGGGGGAAGGCGCATCCCTAGGATGTGTGGGGATCCTGTCTATATAAGCCATTTGATTAAGTATTGTATTCCAGAATTTAAAACTCACGGGCCCATGTGAGGTATAGTAATCTATGGGTGAAGCTTTACAATATTGGGTAGAGAAGAGGAACGTAGGCCTTTGCTTATGGTCCAGTCAGTGCATGTGAAGACTGTTCATAGTGCCCAGGTACCATTTTTCTTGTTCAGGTCTAGAAACTCTGTGCCTTGTCCTTTATTGTCAAATGTACCACTCCTGGCTAATTTTATATCTCCTATTATGAGAAAAAGGTAGCAATGCTCTTATTACTCATGAAGCCCCGGCTCTTTGAAATCTCTTTGTATTGAAACAGAATAGAATTTCCTTCCTCTCTTAATTTCCCAGTACTATTAAATTAATACTGGTTGTATTGTTACTCATGATACTGTGCCACCCACTGTGTCCACCGTGAACACCGGGCTTCCCAGGCGGACTGAAAGGTTGTACTGTGTTCCGTTGGTAACGACCAGATGCAGATCTTACCCAGAGTGTTCAGGAAAGTGTGAATGATAATTTCTTATCTGGTCATGTTAAATTTGCCATTTGGAATTTTACAACATAAACATAGAATAGCACGTACTCCAGCCAAGTCTTTTCTTGAACCCTTGAGGATGTAATCACCATTCCTGGAACGTGATCTCTTTCAGTGTGGCCTGTGCTCGCACACGCTGCCACCAGCGGGAGGAAGGCACTTACTCTTTCCACGGAGAAGCGTCTAAGTGCCCTGCCTCCTGGCAAATTACATACAGCCGTGATTAGAATCACTTCTCAATGACCCGCATTAATGGAAGGGGAACAGCGACAGGGACAGTCTAAGACAGCAACTAAACTAAACAAAATGCGAATTTTCATTTTAGGTATTTTATTCCCTGAGCCTATATTCCTTGGATCAGAACCAGCTACATAATTTGAGAGGCTCAGGGCAAAATGAAAATGCAGGGCCCTTTGTTTTAAAACTAAGAATGTCAGGATGTCAATACTAGGTCCCTAGATCAGGGGTGAGTGAGAGACTTACCCTCGTGAGACATGTTCTCCAGCCACCTCCCAGATGTGGATGACTCTTGACGCCATGCTCCCCTGAACCAGTACTCAGGCCCCTGCCAGGCAGAGCACAGTAGCAGTTGCTCTGGGACTGCTCTGGGAAAGTATATGTGGCGGGGGGACACACCTGAGTGAGTGAGTAGTGACTAAGAAACAAATCAAAGACAAGTAGCAGGTGGCAGGATACCCTTGGGCTGAGGCTGCAAGTCCCTGGGGCATGCTCCATTGTCCCATTAGATCGCTTACAATACACAGTCTCAGTAAAATTAAGAAGTCTAAGGTCGCAAGCACAGAGCACGAAACCCCAAAGTGGGGGACCCTTGTGAGCACCAGGTCCTGTGTGGCTGGTCACTCGTCCATGACTAGTCACTGTGTTGGACTTTTACATACTGTCAATATGAACTGGTCATGTGGAAAGCACCCTAGAATTATGCAGAATACAACAGGGGGGACATATTTGTCTCACATAATCTATAATTTGGATAACCCTGAAATGAGACATCAAGAGTTGATAGTGTAAAATTCGGTAAATTCATTGGTTATCAGTCGACGTCTTCCCCTTACAGAACCACAGGCAGGGTGTGGGATGGAGGACCATGGCCAAGGATGGCTCACTGTTTACTGGGCTTGGAAGGCACATTAGAAACTATGAAACAAACGGGTCTTGATGAGTAAGGTAATGGAGGTATCAACAGAAAAACTGGGAATAAAGGAATTAACTTTGGTGGACAATGTAGAAAGGCCTTGTAAGGGGGAAGAATGACTTTGGTCAGGCCAAGACGGATGGGTAGTATTTCAGTTCCCAGAGACTAAGGGGCAGACCTTCTAGACCAAATGGACGCATAAGAAAGGCAGTAAAATAGAGCGTGTGTTGATAGATATGCCTACATGCTGGGACTTGCAGGCGTTCTATGGTTGTAGTTATTGAACATCTATTTTCCAAACACTGAGATAGAAGCAGGCGATAGAAGAATATAGGATTAGGCATCAGACAAATCCATGTTTGAATCACAGTCTACCACTTCCCAGCTGTGTGACTGGGGACATCTTACTTAGCTACTCTGAGCTTCAGTTTTAGTCATCTGTAAAATAAAGATATTGGTTTTATAGAATTATTACGAAGATTAAATGAAATGATGTTCGTAAAATACTCCAGCCAGCACCCTCAGTCTAGTGAAGGAGACAAGCAAATAGAAGGAGATAATTGTGATAACACATACTGTGAGAGCACAGAAAGGAGAGTGGCTCTCTCTGCCTGAGGATTTAGTGCTAGGCTTCCAGGAAGAGGTGATACTTGACCTGGGGACTGAAAGGTAAGTATGTGTTTATTAACCAAAAGGCCTCTGAGAAAGAGCCTTCTTAGGGTTTGAAAACCATGAGTCCTCTTTATGATCTGCGTGAGGTTGGGGGGCAGGGAGGAACAGCAGGAAGAGAAGGGTGATCATATAAACCATCTATAGATAAAGACAAAAAATGACCTTTCATTAGCACCAAAAAACTACTTTTAGCAAAGTCTTCACTGAAAAAAAGGTGAGAGACCTTCTGTGCTGAGTCCTCCTGGAAGTAAGATGTAAACAGGTTTGCCTGGGAACTTCTGCAGCAGATGTTCTGTGTATCTTCTTCCTTCCAGAAGAAGTCTGGAGCCATGGGAAGAGAGAGAGAGACGGGGTGGGGGGACTGAGGGGTCGGGAGAGAGAGGGAGGAAAGGAAGGAGGGAGACTCTCAAGAAATATAGCTATTTTTTCCATCTCCATCTAGAATATTTTGCTTAGTTGGTAGACCTTTCATAAGACATTAGCTCTTTTAAAAATAGGAGTCTCAGTGGTCTAGGTTGATCTGTTTGACCATGTGCTTGGAGCTTTAAAGGGTACATGCTTTTTCTGTCTTCTTCCTGCAGACTGAACTCTTGCCTTTGCAGACTCACTTCAAAGGAAGAGAGGCTGGCGGTCTCCAGCATCCTGTGAGTAACATGGTCCTGTTGCCATGAGCCCAGGTAGAGCCAGTGGCCACCGTGTTCATTAAAACATCACTTGATTTCTATGACATTTTATTTTATTCACCTCTCTGATATCTAAGCATCTGCAATATCATTTTGTAAAGTCCTTGAGCTTGCTTGTCCCTCTTAGAAGTAATCAAGTTTTATGAAACCAGTAACCAAATAGTACCAGGCAAAGAGAGCATCAGGGGCTTCCTTTTATAGTGTCAGCTGTGTAAGGAAGGAAGGTCAAGATGAGAGAATATTTTTGACAGTATTTCTTATTCTCAGGGTGTGTTTTTGTGTTAGTTTGTTTTGGGTTGTTTGATTGAATTCCCTGCATATCTCATGCGGTCATTCCAAGCTTGAGCCATGCTGAGGGACGCCTGACATTCACAGCCTTGCTTTTCTGCAGTTTGCTTTAACTGATACTAATTCCGTATTGGAAAACCTGAAACCGACTGTAGTCTCCATGGCTTGGTCACAATCTTCTCTTTAGGAGCTGCCACCAGTCTTGCTCAGGTATTGAAAGCAACATAGGACCAGAAAATGAAAATTTGTCGAACTTTACCTGGCCATTCAATAGTTTGTGGAATGAGGAATTGGGGACACAGACTGTAACAAGTTCTATTTTTGCTTGCTTTTACCAAAGTGCTAGAAAAATGCCAACAGCTGTTCTGCTAATGTAAGCAATGTTTGAATTTTTAGAATGGACTAAATAGCAGGAGATTTGACTATGAAGACGAGAATCCAGTGGGGGAAGATGAAATTCAGCAGATGCACCCTCTTTACAACCAGATGTGCTGCCAAGATCGGAGCCCCGGCAAACATCATCAGAGCAGCGATCCCAGGAGAGCCTGCATCCACCCGCGAGAGCATTACGTGTGATGACCCTGCTTCCAGTGCGTGTTCTACCAAATGCTATTCCCAGATTGGGGAGAGAAACCAAGGTCAATAGTTATTATTTTGCTCTCTCATATAAAACAGTACCCCTCTAAGTACCAGGAGTCGTGATGAACGACTTGGAGCCAGTGGTGAATTTCTTTCCTCCAGAAAGTTTCTTCACCACCAGCTGTGTCTGTGAACTTGACTCTAGCTTTGTGTGTGTCTGTGACGATGGTGTTTAACTACTAACATCTGGCCTACAATGGCATGTTCATTTAACAGTAGAGCATGTGCCCGGGATGCCAGCAGTGAGTCTCCAGAAAGAAAGGCCCCAGCTGGGAATGTTAACCTCGCTGGGTCTCAGGCAGGCCAGCCTGTTCCTCTGTCACTCAGACAGGCAGAAAAAGGAATTCAAAATTCATTTCATGAATTACTTAGTTGGGATTTGGCTTTCCCTGACATGCTTGATACAATCACAATACCTATGTACAAATGAGAGGTCTGAGGAAAGAGGCAAAATTTGTTCTTTTTCCAAAAAATACAACAAAAGGCAGTTTAAACCTTCAAGCCTGTTGATATTGTAATATATGTTTCTTCTTAATCACTAAGGTCCTGAGGGATGCATAGTTCTCGCCTGGTCCACATATCTGCCTAGTTTGGATCAGCGGAGTGCTAACCAACGTCCTTCTCTTGCTCTGTCACTGTTCCCACAGTTCTGTCCTTTATTAGCCAGATTAGCCTATTTCTCACCTATTAAATTCTAAAGACCTTCTCTAAACGGTGGGCAGCCGTGGCGAGCCTTTTCCCTCATCTGTGGCATTGTGTGTGACAGTCTCGGCTTTCACTCCTGAAATTTCTTTCAAGCTAATCCTGCCCACATAGGCCTTAGCCACCCTCTGCATTCTTCAGACTACTTACAGTCGGTTTTATCTACCTCAGAAAAGCCTGCTGGAAAAGCACCGTGAAATTGCTCCTGTTCTTAAAAGGCAGGTGGGAAATTTGAAAACTTAAACAGAAAAGCCACTTCACTGTGGCGTCTGTGCTAAACCCGCATGTTGTCCTTAATCCCCCACCCCTGCTTTACCTGGTCAACAACAAAAATAAAGAAATGCTTAAAAAAAAAAAGCCAATAATGTAGCGGCTGTCGTAGCAGCTTATCCTGCACCACTCTGGTGCCTGCCAGTGTCGGCCTGGAGTTTTCTCACTTTGCCAACATTTCCTCGCTGAGATTCAAGGTAGTAATTGGAGTGGGGTGAGCAGAGGAGGGACACAGGTACCGGTGTCGGTCACCCTCCCTCACATCCTAAGGAAAGCCGTGTTTTACCGCAAGTTCTGCAAGAGTAGAGGTATGCCACAGATACATAAAAAAAACAAACTACGGACTTGTCATCTATTAGGAAAGAGCGACATAGCACTATGAAATGTTATACATTTCCAACCTGAGCTTCAAGGGGCGGGAGAATATGAACACGGATTTCTAATGCAACACCAAAGACACCTGGTGATTCGTGTTGTGCTGGCTCTAGTTGTTGCTCGTGTGTTTTCCTTTTCTTAGGTGCCGTGCTTTGTGAGAGAAATCATCCAGTTGTTCTGCAGTAGTAATCCACTCCCCCCAGGGCCCGGGTGACCAGTGATTCTGGGAGAAAAGATGTCTAAATTCTAACTCAGTGCTTCAGCTAGGTAATTGGCAGTAAAAGGTATATGGGATCAAAGGGTAAATCCCAAGGACCCTCCCTGCTGTATCACAGCTACCTCAGAGCTAGAACTCACTGCCCTTTGTAGCAAGCTGACACAGAAAGAAAATATTTGCCTTTTTATGTGGCATCTCATCAGTGAGTTGGTGTAACTGAAGGGGCAGGAATCCTTGCAATTGCTTTCCAGTAGAAACATGACCCTGGTCAGAGCTCTTCCTCCCAGGAAGAGTTTATAAAATGTTGGGTGTTACAGAGGAGGAGATACTGTGGAGCATCACCTCCTTCAGAAAGCTTTAAAAATGTATCACACATAGGAGGTGGTTTCCAGGGCCCTGCGGGGAAGCAGGTTGTTGGTTAGTGTCCTCAGAGCGCACCTGGGACCTAGTGGGGAGTTGAGGTGACTTCATTTGCACCAGGGAAGGAGATTTGGAAGCACTGGGTTTCAGGAGCCCTCTGACTTGTCTACAGCACCTTCCCTACCAAGAAGAACCCATCCTTGCATTTTAAGATTCTCAGTGTAGTTATGGAAAAGAAGTTTCAGAATGTAGGTACCTCCCTCACAGCCAGGTAGTTCAATATCCTTTTTGCCTCTCTGTCATGTGTGGTATTTCTTTAACAAACTGGTAGATTTTATGGCTGTTGGCCCCTGACGTGGGTCACGTAAGCTATATAATTGCATCCCATCTGTTCTCTCCAAATACTGAGTGGAACAGAAAGGAGCTTTAAAGGGGTTTGATCAACCAGCTCCCTTAACCAAAATATACCCTCCAAAATTAGCCTGTCAGTCTCTAAATTTGGAGCCTAGACTGCTTGACGATGGCTATTTAAATTTGGAAGTTAGACTCTTAAAGGTCAGTGAGGCTTAGGGAGGAGGCACTGGAGACTCTCCCGGTTTTACTAAAACACTGAGGCAGAGATGAAGCCCAGAGCACTTACCCACGCGCGGCTGCGGCTCTGCGTGCCAGGGGCGTGTGCGTGCTCCGCCCCAAGCCCGCAGCCCCTGCTGCCTGTTTCGGAGAGCGCCCAGGCTCCGGGGCCTGCACTGTCGGTGCCATAGCAGGTAACCAGCTCTGTGCAAGTCACGCTGAAACGGAGCAGCTGCACCACTCAGGATTGGTCTGACATAATGGGATAAGAATTTAGATTAATTATTTAACGGTGATTTGTTCTCTCTTCGGTGAGGGTTCCCCTATCCCTGACCTTCTTACGTGTTTTAAATTTGAAGCAGTCCGTGCTCTTTGGGGCATGAAATATAAAAGTCTTACCTGTGCTGGGCTTCCCTATAACATGCCCATCGTAGATACTAAAAAATTGTGCTGTAAACTAAATTATCTCGTCTCATTAATTGTTTATGGCCTTGTTTACTGATAGGGGTGGTGCAGTTTCCTTGTTCATCTTCGAGAATGATTTCCTAAGTCTTCCTCCACAGTGGTCTAAAATTTACTGTTTGTGTTCTGTTGTACGGTCTTTCCCTGCACTGGGCTGGTCTCCGAGCGCACTTCTTTATACACAATAAAGCCTTCCTTCAAACCTGGGAGCATAGAGGATAGACCATTATACCAGTAATCAAAGAAGAGGGTCCACTGCAAGCTTCACCCCTTCCAGCCATGGAAACTTAGACGAGCCACTTAACCTGCCTGGGGCATCAGTTGCCCTTGTCCATAAGGCAGAGACTGTAAGACCTTCCCTGTCAGCAGTGTGGTGAGACTTAAACAAGATAATAACGGATGGAATATTATAAGTTTCTTCAAATGAGATGCCTGTGACTCTGTTGTTGCTGCATGATGAACCTAAGCTCCCAGCACCCCTTCCAGCATTTCAAATACCATAGTGTCCTCAGGAGAACCAAGTGGCAAAAGAAAGCTTCAGTTAGACCTGATTTGAGTTTAGCCACGTGCAAGTGGAAAACATTTTTTTTACTGTAATAAACATTTGTCAGATGGAAAACGATACCTGGATTTTTAGCCTCTCAAGCTTTGGCTAGAGTTGAAAATACATGTTGCCATGACCAGTAGTTGCTTGGTTTACAAATTACTACTAATAGCAGCTACTATTATTATGTGCAGAATACAGACTGGATTCTAAGGTGAGCACCTTCCATGAGTCATCTCACAGACTGGAACTGAGCTCCTGTTTTGTTCCCTCTCCAGCAGCCCCTGTGGGGACAGAAAGGCTCACATCCCATGCTGCAAACCCACACATCATCCTTATCATTGGTCGTCTTTCAGATCTGTTTTTGGGAATGGTGGTAGGGAAGGAGTTTTCTTGATTTTGTTAAAGCAGAGTTATAAAAGAGAACATGGGCAAAACCATTAGAAATGTTTATTAAGATGAAAGCAAGAGTATATACCCATTTTTAGTTTTTCTGACTTCTCAACATGCTCACTAAGAGTCCCATTAGGTTAACCATAGCTGCAAAAATAACCTGCCAAATAATTAAAACCACTCCATTTCAATTGGTTCCGTTTTAGTGGCACAAACTTCTAACACCTCTTGCTCAGCTTAGTTCATTGCTCTGCTTAGTTTCACCTTGCTTGCACTCCCAGGAGTGGTGGTACTCTTATAGTGGACAGGTAGAAAGAAAGCTGGCTTTGGTGGAAAGCCAGAATAGGAAAGGTGTGAAGTAGAAATGTCACAGTTCTGTGCTTCTCTTGTTGCTGTGTTTAACTGACAAGGTCTTTTGTCCTTAGGCTGTTGAAAGATCTTATAAGAGAGCCAGGGACTTCAGTTCTTCTGTTAACTAAAAACTGCTTTCTGCAAGCCTATTCAGCCATAGACAATAACTGAATTAATCTTATTGCACCTGTAAAGGTATTTGTGTTTCCTCCTTTAGAGAAAATTGTTGTAAGCTGGACTTGGCCAACTGGGTCACTTGCAATTATTAGGTTGCTTTTGGTGGCTTTCAGTAGGTAGAGGTGAGGGAGGGCTGTAAATCTCTCCCAAACCTTACCAGGTGGTACTTTACACTGATACCAGATTTTAGACCAATTTCTGCATCACTCATGTTTATAAGTAAGCAGGCACTAGAGAAGACATCCTATAACAGTCAACCTGTCCTGTAAGCTTGAAAAAGTCCCAACTCTGTTTTATTAAGAAACCCAATAATATCTTAAAGGGTTATTAGAAATGAATCCAATAATATTGAGGCAGATTCAGTGTCAGGCACCTGATTCTTTTTAAATTCTAGACACGGAATCTAGGGATTCCAGGGCTCTGTTCACAGAAGGGCCGCAGTGCCCTACAGTGTTTGGGCCAGTCCACACTCCTTTAACACCATAGAAAATGATCACTCACTAACAAAGTCTCTGGTGTTGAGCTAGTAGCCTCTGAAGTGACTACAGTTTTTCAAATGCTTATTAATAACCTTTGGAGGGTGTTTCCAAGTAGGACACTTCAAACGTTAACTAACCACTCCTTTAAGATTAATTAACCTGTGCCAAAATAATTAAAATGTATGGAATGTAACAATTTGTTAAGGATTCCTCCCACTAGCGTGAGGCAGATGTACTCACTGCTCTAAAGCCAACCACCTGCTGAGTAGGCTGCCACTGGCATTTCTCTTTAGCGACAGCTTTTCCTTCTTAGGGGTGTGTGTATGTGTTATGACAGAGGAAAAGAGGGCTACTTAACATTTGCAGCTGAAAAAAACTTTGCAGTTCATATGCACAAGCGAACCCTTACATGTGCAAACATCTCACTATTTCAAGTCCATTTTACTATATTTGCTTTAACATTATCTCTAAAAAATGGTTAGAGGTAGGATGAGCGATGCCATATTTACCTTGACAGCTGAAATATGTAAAATATTAGGTTTATTTCTACTCTATTTCCAATATTAGGTAAGTTATTTTCTACTCAAGTCGCAGTTTGATTGTGGAAAGAATGTCAAAAATTCATACGACACTAAATATCTTTTTATCATATATTATCAACTGAGACTGTGATGTGGAATGTCTCAGGGAGAAGGGAAACCACTGGTGACAAAAGGATCTTTCATTCTATTGGTTGGGAAAAATCCCTCCCATTGGCTCGTCCCCCAGAATATTCTAATCAGTTTTGGGGAGCTATGGCCATGATAAATATCAAATTACTATCTCCCTGCACCAAAATGTACTAGTTATAGTCTGTGTCCTTCCAGCTGTGAGGTGTAGAGATAATTGCCTGAGTTTCAGGGGAACAGATGTTGTGAATATGTACAGAAATGAGTAGCATCTCCATGAATTGAAAATGGGCAGGGCCCTGTCCTCTTAGTGCTCCATTCTGTAGCTGTGTTGCTTGCAGTTGCCATTGCAAGCAATTTATACAGGAGTCATGTCAGCTGCACCCAAGGAGATATACTGTTGGATTTAAATTATTATTAGGTTATAACTGCTATCTCAAACAATTTTCAGTAAACAGAAGGCAGCTTTCAGAGATATTTTAATCTTGCTCTCCATCTAGAGGTGGGAGACCAATAGTTGCCCTCTTGAGTTTATTTCCAACACTACCATTAAAGTTTTTGTGATCACGTCCCCTGTGGCCTAAATTGGGTGTATTTATTGCCATGTCCTGGGATTTAACTGTGAAAGTCGATTAGTGGAGATCTTGAGGGAAAGCCTCCTTGGGAATCCAGAACATCGGATTTGTTACACTGCTTTAAAACTGTGGCCTCTCCCGCTACAATATATGCCTGACAGCCAGGAGATGTTTTATGTGCCCTCTCCAGAGGTCAGGAATGTGCTTCAGACATCCCCAGTGTCCCTTAATAGGTCATCACAGTGAATCTATGAAGCCCAGGGTTACACATGATTTTCTAAGTAAACAGGTTCCCTTGCTTTGGTTTTCAATATTCTTTCTGATAACGACCAGTATTTTTTTCTTAATGCACCCTAACACAGCTGAGTTAAATTCCTCTCTTAAGCCATGTTGATGGCTCACTGTCCATCATATTTTAACTATAAGCAGCAGTATTTTGTCCTAAATGCACTAATTTTCACTCGCCCGCCCTGTGGCTCATTTATGCTCTGCTTTTGCATGTGGTCTTATGAGGTAATTAGTGCTTCTATGTATATTCCCATCAACTGAGCACTTTAATACCCAGAAGCGCATTTGTCATCTTAGGTTTCGTTGTGTACTTGAAATTCCAAGTCCTTTGTAAAAAATGTTAAGTAGCTGGTTGCTACTGGATCCTGGGATTATTCCACTCGTCCATCCAGAAAAGTTCCTGTTTACGCGCTTCCTTCTGTTTCATTTCGAAGTCGGTGCTCTAAGACATGACATCTGCTCCAGCCCGCTCACTCTCCATGTGGTCTTAACCTCTTCTTTACCTCTCAGTCTCACCCCTGTGAACTCTCTCTACCTCATAGGGGTTTTATGGAGGGGAAACTAAGATGTGTAACAATTGTCTTCAAGAGAGATCCTGCTTTTAAAGTGATTTTATAAAAACCCCATGGCTTAGAAATGAGAAACTCTATAGCTATTGTATTTTTTACTATTCTTGTACTGCTATTTTTATTTCTGAAAAGCGATCTCTGTCAGAGTCTCTACTCTGGTTCTAACTTTCCCCCTGTTAACCCTTTCACACTGAACCTGTCCTCTCTACCTTATGCACGCTCTGAACTATTTACTTAAGGAGCCAAAACTAACTCCCCCACAGCAGATCCACATATTCTACTTCCATCATTAAATCAATCAGCGTCTTCTGGAAGGAGGCATCCTGCTCTGGACCCAAGAAGTCAGAAGCTAATGAGGTCTCCCTCTGGCCCTGACCAGATCTCACCCTGTGCCTTGGTTCTCCCCGTATAAACACAAGTTAATTCTGCTATTTCCCAGCACCTGGGGGTGTGAGTCCTGACTAATAAATGATGAAATGCATTTTGCAAATGCCCAGTACTGTATAGAGGCTTAGCGAGTAATCTGGAGAGTCTTCAGGTAGAAATGTGTTCAGGTGCAGCTCAATTCAGAATACTAATCCACTATTTTCAGAAGAAACGTTTTGCTAATATGTCCTTTTACTTAGTGAAAATTAGTTTCTAGTCATGTGAACTGTTTTTCTTTTGATGTATAGAAAGAAATCAATAGTATATAATATTGCTTGTCAGAAAATACTCAAGTTGTAATTTAAGGCTTAAAACTGAATGGGTTACATAACACCGCAGTGGGGTAAGTAGGAGTCTAGGTCAAGTGTGGCAAATAGAGAAATAGATTATCTTTGATTTTGAGATTATGTTATAAATAGTGGATGTTAATGTGGTTGTTTTAGATATTCTTTATTTTTAAGTTACCAGAAATTGTCTTTTATTTTTGCAGTTTTGAACTCTGGTTCTTGACATGTTTTGAATAAAGATTTTATCAACTAAAGGTTTTCACATACATTATTATCAATAAATCAATTCTGATTAAAATACATATGAAATTTAGTAACCTAAGTACAGGACTTAGACTTCAAGATTTAAAGAACATCTGTCATAGAAATGGTAAGTTTTTATACAGGAGTTCTTTTTTTAACTAGCAAACAGCTTTGTAAAGAAATAACAAATGTTATTGTAGAAATATTGAGAAATGCAAAATAGAAAAAAATACAGGAGTTCTTTTGAAAACTATTTTTAAAATAGTAACAAGAGTACTTTTATACATAAGCCGCATTGGAAGTGCTTTTTAAAATGTGACAAGTTATATTTTATTGTAATACTTCTTTTCAATAAAGCTAAATTTATTCCACTTAAAGAATTTTTCTTCATTCTTGATTAATCTTTAGATGTTAAAATGCCCTTACTTTTATGAAATGATTTTGGTGCTAGGTGATAACTTTTTGTGTGATTATTTACCAAAAAAAAAAAAAAAAAAAAAAAAAAAAAAAAAAAAAAAAAAAAAAAAAAAAAAAAAANACAAGTTATATTTTATTGTAATACTTCTTTTCAATAAAGCTAAATTTATTCCACTTAAAGAATTTTTCTTCATTCTTGATTAATCTTTAGATGTTAAAATGCCCTTACTTTTATGAAATGATTTTGGTGCTAGGTGATAACTTTTTGTGTGATTATTTACCAAAAAAAAAAAAAAAAAAAAGACATCTCTGATGGATCCCTGAATTGTTTTTAGAGATGAATAATTGACTGATCTATAAAACCCCAAAGTCTGGGAACCACTTTTTAAAAATTATTGAGATGCCATAAACTTCATCCTTTTAAAGTATAAAAATGAGTGTTTTTTAGTATATTCACAAAATTGTGGAATCATCACCACAATCAATTTTAGAATATTTTCATCACCCCAAAAAGAAATCCACTCTCATCAGATGTTCACCCCTCCTCCTCTCTCCTCTCTAGCCTCTGGCAGTCACCAGTCTACTTTCTTTCTCTGGATATACCTATTCTGTACATTTCATATAAAAGGGATCATATATAATATGTGGTCCTTTGTGTCTGGCTTCTTTGATTTAGCATACTGTTTTCAAGGCTCATCCATTCTGTAACATTTATCATTTTTATTTTAGTCCCAAATAACATTCCTTTGTATGGATATACCACATTTTATTCATTCATCAGTTCATGGACACTGTTGTTTCACGTTTGCAAGTAATTATGAATTATTATAAATAACACTGCTATAAACATTCACGTACAAGCCTTTGTGTGAACATACGTGTTTATTTCTCTTGCAAATATACTTAGGAATGGAATAGCTGGATCATATGGAAACTCTATATGATCTCTTTGAAGAACTGCTTAACCTTTTTGAAGAACTGTTTTCCAAAGCTGATGCACCATTTTACATTCCCACTAACAGTGTATGAAGGTCCCAATTTTTCCACATCTTCAACAATACTTGTTATTATTGGTCTTTTTATTACAGCGATCCTAGTAAGAGTGAAGTGCTATCATTGTGTTTTTTATTTGAATTTCCCTAATGGCTGATGTTTGTTTGTTTTCTACAGCCGTTTAAGAATATAAAACCATTCTTAGCTCCTGGGCCATATAAAAACAGGCTGCATGCTAGATGTGCCCCTCAGTTAGCCAGCCTCTGACTTAGAAGATAGAATTAGTAGACAAGTACATTAAAATGGTATTATAAGTACACTGTGTTCAAGAAAGTAGAGGAAATAATGAGCCTGTGAGAGGTAGATGTGGGACATCAGAAAAGAAGGCCCACAGTGGAGTGCTGATAAATCAGCTTGCTGGATTAGACAAGAAACTTGTTTAGCAGCATTTGCTGAGTTTCACAGTATAAATATTCCCACCATGTCCAACTTTAAGCTCGTGATGTGACACCACTGAATCTGGAGTTGGAAAGGGACATGCACAGTTGGCACTGCGAGTGGTGCCAGCTGAACAGCACATCACTGACGTCACCCATCTCTAACTGTGCACGTATGACATCGGGCAGTCAGGGAAGGCAGCTTCTATCTCCAAGGCTATCATTGGCCTTCTCTGCCACTCCTACAACCAACCAGTAGAAAGGAAAATAGCTTTCCCTTCCCATTATATTATTAGACTTCCAAATAGCCTGTGGCTCTTTCTCAGCCATCATTACTTTGGAATCGTAGCTACATTTTCCACATGCACACTTCCAAGAATGTCAAAACCTTATTGGAATAAAGTTAAAGCCTCATTAAAGAAACATCTTTGATTGTGATTTAGTCAAATTCATTTCAAAAAAAAGTCAAGGAAACAAAAGGATATATATA